CCCTTTGTCAGGAATTCTATGGGGAGGATGTGAAGTCGTCTCCGGATTATGAAAGGATCGTCAACAAGCGTCACTTCAAGAGAGTCCTGGGCTTGCTGGAAGGGCAGAAGATCGCTCACGGGGGAGAGAGTGATGAGGCCTCCTGCTTCATAGGTGCTTGTGGCTGCTGCCGGGGAGGGGAGGTGGTAGTGGGTGCCCTTTGGGGTCTCTGTGTGCGTGGCTTGCTTGGGTTACGTTGCACACAGACAGTGCAGTGAGGTCCTGTGATGGACCAGGTCTTCTGTCCTGCTCACACTGTTCTCCTGTTCTCCCGTTTGCTGCAGCACCGACCATCCTGACGGACGTTTCCCCGGATTCCAAGGTGATGGAGGAGGAAATCTTTGGGCCTGTCCTGCCCATTGTGACCGTGAAGAGCGTAGAGGAAGCCATTGAGTTCATCAACTGTCGGGAGAAGCCCCTTGCCTTGTATGTCTTCTCCAACAACAAGAAGGTGGGTCTGGGCAGCAGTGCCTCTGTGCAGTTGGATCCTGAACTTGGCTGGTCCCAGGCACGGCTTCCTACAGGGTCAGTGTCAGTTCCTTTTCCATGTGAGTTGCAGCGTTTGGCTCACAGGGGCCGTGAGTTTCCCCAGAGCTGCTGAAGGGCTCTGGGTTTGCACATCTCCCCCTCCTTTCAGCTGGCTGCCCACGCGGGTGGGTGCTGGCTCCCGACACATCTCCTGTCCTTGCTGTGGGCTCTGTTGTGCCAGTTCAGGAATTCAGGGCAGGGCTTTGCCCTGGCACAACAGCCCCAGGTGGTTTGTGTGGGAGGGCTGAGAAACACCCCAGGCTCTGGGTGGATGCACCTCTGACCTGTCCCACTGAGATGGAGCCTTTTGGGTCATGACTGTTCCAGCTGGGCAGATCTTGTGCTTAGGTGATGTAAACCTGCCTCTCCCATGGAACAAGGCACACACTGTGCCCTGCACAAAGCAATGGGATGGAAGCACCAGCTTGAACCCTCCCTGCTCTGGGACATGGTGTTGTGTCCCATCTTGATTTTCCCTTATTCTGTGCCATCTCCCATTCTGGGTAGCTGATCAGACGGGTGATATCAGAGACCTCCAGTGGTGCCATGACAGCCAATGACGTCCTCATGCACGTGGTGGTTCCGGGTCTGCCCTGCGGTGGTGTGGGTGAGTCCCTGCTCCTCCCCTGCCCCTGGATTCATCTCCCAGCAACATCCTCTGACCCATGTGCTGTTGTGCCCCTTTGGCAATTCAGGAACTTTCAGCTGCATTTTCCCCATTAGTGTTATTTTCTGTGGGGTTTTTTTCTGTTATTTTCTCTCTGTAAAAAGGCTCATTAGTGTTTTGGTTTTTAGACCTCTCAGTGAGAGAGGAAAAGCCTCTGGCACATATGTGAGCTCTGGTTCTCCTGTGCTGGGGTGTGGGATGAAGTTGCCTGGGGCAGAGTGGCTGGCTGAGTTTCCACAGTCACTGGCAGGCTCATGTAGCAGGGACAGCCTGGCTGTAGGCAGAGGGCTGAGGGCCTGGTTGTTGCTGGTGTCAGGGTGCTGAATGTCCTCCTCGTGTCCCACTCCTTGAAATCATAGATTCAGTTCCTCCTGTCACCGACCCCTGAGAAAATTCTGTGGGGGAATCAGGGCAGCCCTGGGAGGGTTGAGAACTGGTGCCATTAACCTTTCAAGGGTAGGTGCAAACAACCAGCCCGAGCAGCAGTTCAAGACAGTGAGCAGGTCCTCACCTATTTCTGGGTAGTTAATAAAGCTGCTCTTTGCTTCTGTGCCCTGGGGGAGCAGAGCAGCTGCTCCAGGTGTGAGAAGCAGCATGACCAAGCTTTCCCCTTGTGTCCTGGGGGCAGAATTTAAGAATTCTGTGGATTGTATCCCTCAGGTAACAGCGGGATGGGAGCCTACCATGGCAGGTACAGCTTCGAGACCTTCTCCCACCGCCGCACCTGCTTGATCAAGGACCTGAAGCTGGAGGTTGTGAACAAAACGCGGTACCCACCTGGCAGCCAGGAGAGGGTGAATGTGGCCAAGTTCATGCTCCTGAAGCATTGTAAGGACTGCCGAGTGGGACAGTTCCTCTCGGCCCTGCTGGGGGCTGTGAAAGCAGTCATGGCAAAGGTGGGCCTTGAGTCTCTGCTGTCCGTGTGAGCGTGTGCTCCCTGCTCTGCCCCTGAGCCCCATCTCCCCTCAGCCTCCACGGCCACGTTCCCTCGGGCTCTGTTCCCTCCCTGGGGGACTCATCCCTGTTTTTGTGCCTTTCCAGATATTCTCCCCCTGACGAGAGGAGTGATGGGCAGTCAGCAGCTTTCCAGCCCCGGAACCCACCACTCGCTCCCTGCAGTCCTAGTGCTGAACTTTCCTCTGCTGCAGTTTCATTTCTTCCAAGGCAGCCAACACACTGAAGAGGTAGAAGACAACAAAAAATACCTAGAGTAGAGACAGTCCAAGCTGAAGGCTCCAGCTCCTGCTGAAGCAGGAATTTATCAAGACCTAGGCCATGGGTCATGCCTGAGCAGTGAGTGCCAGATGGAAGGAAACAGCATCCACCCTGCTTTGTAAACAGGAGCTTATCTAAAAACTCTTGGGAATGGGGGAGTGTTTGTCACAAGGATACCTAAACAAAGCCACTTGTTACTGAGCCTGTTATCTACTTAATGCCTGCCTGATTCCCATAGGAAGCTGGCTCATTACAGCAATAAGCTTAGCAAATTGTACTGCAGGGGACAGTCCAGGCTGCTTGTCCCCAGAGCAGAGAAAAGGAACCTGGAGGAACCTGCACCATCGCATCCTTTATGGGACTCACGACCGAGTGGGTTGCAGGGAGATCACCCATAGCCATGTAAAGTGTGCAAAGGCCACCTGAGTGACAGCAAAGGCTCTCTGAGCTGCAGCCACACTGTCCCAAGGACTCAAGGAGTGCCAGGGACCACAACTGCACTGCTGCTGCACTGCTTTTGAGGCTGCTGGGGCAAAGACAGGGGCTTTGCTGCAACTAGACTGCCAGGTCAGGGACGTCCTTGGCCAGAGTTGCAGAGCAGCCAGCCACCTCATCTGTAACTGAATTTCAGGTTTTTATTGGTTTTTGGGTAGTCTTTTACCTCCAAAGTTGTAACTGAGAGCTGACCTTGACCCTGGCTGAATAAAACCTTTGTTTACTGTGAAGGCCACCTGGGGCAGGGCAAGACCCACGTGTGCAGCCCCCAGCATCGGATGCTCCCTGCTCTGACCCCAGATCCCCTTCAGCCTCCACCCAAAGGAGCCAGCCTGACTCCAGCTGGATTTATTCTTTATTGGGCATTTGTCACGGAGCAACCATGTGAGCTGGGCTGTTCTCAGCTCTGTTTGGCTCTGAGCATGGGCTGGAGGGGGTCACCCACACGTTCAATGTGTGTCAGGCAGCCTAGAGCAGCATTTTGGGTGTTGGAGCAGCCACAGGGCCTGTTCCTAAGCAATGTCTGAGCAGACGCTGCCGAACGCTGTCGGTGGCCTTTTGACTCCTGTGGGACAGGCCAGTGCTGAATTTTCTTGCTGGCTGGTCTGTGCTTTTAACATCTGTCCATCGGGAGGGGCTTTCACCACAAAAACAAGTCCCCAAAGTCCCTGGTGTGAGTCAGTGTTTGCTGGTCATCAGTTTTATGGCGATGCCGAGTGCGAGCACAGCGACGGCTGCAGCCACCGCCAGCCCACGCCGGATGATCAGCCCCTTGGTGATCACAGGGGTGGCCCGAGAGGAGATGGTAGAAGTGGCTTCATGGAGCTCCAGCTGGTACGTCGAGCCCTCCCTCCTGATGATGCCCGTGAGCACGACGTCGGTCTGCACATCCACTCCCGCTGCAAGGAAAACAGTGTCTCTGGGGGGCTTTGGGGAGATTGAAGTAATTCTTGGGAGAGCTTTGTCAGAGGGCTGAAAGCACATTACAAACAGCCCAGAGTGTGGAGATCTCCAGCTCTCAACAGAGCTTCAGTAGGACCTGGTGTCTGCAAGGTGAGAACTGCCCAGGGTGCCCAGAGATCGGCCCTCCACCAGCCTCCTGCACCCTCCCCAGCCCACACTTGTAATTACTGTTCTCCCAGTAACTGAGGGCATCACCAGCACTGCACTGTACCCCCCTTTTGTGGGCTTGTTCCTGACTTATGTGAATCCCTGGGGACACTTCCTGGACCCAAACCCTTCACTGTACACAGTGCCCAGCTCCCCCATCCCACCATGCCCAGCTCCTGGCCATACCAACACTCCCCAACACCGCCCTGGCAGGGAGGTAAGTGTGGGGCTGGGGGGCTGATCCCACATCAGGGGGAAGCTCCTTGCAGGAGGGTTCAGGGCCCAGGTTCGGCTCCTCAGGTGGTGGCTGGGTCACTCCTGCGCGGCGCTGAGCCTGGGGAGGGAACGTGCTGGGTTTAGGCAGCAGCACATGGTGTGGGGAATCCCCCCCGAGCAAAGTCAATGTGTTGCCACTTATGGGGTTCAGCTCCAGCGAGACCCCGGAGCTGCTGGGGCACAAGGTGATGCTCAGGGCTGAAGGGCTGAGTGCTCTGTGCTTCATGTCCCCCAGCCAAGGGTGGCACCAGGCGGTGGCAGGGGGTGCAGAGGGAGACCTTGAGGCCACTGAGTGCATGTGCAGGAGGGAGCTGAACACTGGGATGTGAGTCATGGGAGCACTGGGTTTAGCTCAGGGCACTGGAGGACAGCTCAGGCTGTGAGATTGAGCCCGTGCTGCTGTCTCACCCCAGTGCCATCACAGCCAAGGCACTGAGGACCTTCCCACGGGCAGGGCACGGCGCTGGCAGTGCCTGGGTTACCTTCTCAGCTGCTTTTTTCCAGTCCATGCGGGAGATGTAGATGATGAAGCAGGTGCAGAGGATGAAGACACAGGCGAGCATGCTGAGCCACAGGCCTGCAGAGGGCACACCAGTGTCAGCTGGGGTAAACCCAATGGAGACAGCATCTCAGGACAGCAGGTCAAGGACAGGGATGGCACCAAGGTCAGCAGGGACACAGGGATGGGGTGGTCATGGGTGCCTACTGCAGGGCTGCCTGGCACACCTGGCAGCAGTTGCTTCTTCCCAGTACGAGTAAAAGCTCTCAGCACTTGCAGGGGCCAGCCCAGCCCAGCCCAGTGTGCCTGGTCCCAGGCAGATCTGAGGGAGGGCAGATCCGAGGCAGGGTCATGGTGAGCCATCAGTGGAGCTGGGGGGAGCTGCACGTACCCGTGGGGGATTTGGGGGTGTGCAGAGCTGCCTGCCCGGGGGTCAGTACCTATGACGCCGATCTTGGCCACGAAGAGCAGCACAGCTGCCAGGGGCATGCCCACACCATAGTAGCACACGGTGTTGAGGATGGCTCCGAACTTCTGCTTCCCGATGCCTCTGAGCACCCCCGCACAGGCACCCTGCAGGGAGAGGGAGAGGGGCTGGGGCAGGGACTGCCAACTCAGCTGATTCAGGGCTGTGCTGCTGCCTGGAGATGAACCAGCTCCCCGCCTCTGCCCATTATTTCTGTGTCCCTGGCCAGTCCTGTGGGTCACACACTCTGTATGTTCTAAGGGATGATCCTGGGATCCCTGCAGGGTCCTGGTGTGGGCACCAGTGCTCACCTGCAGCCTGAGGGACCCTCGACCCACCGAGCCACGATGCTACTGCTCAGCACTGAGGTGCCCTATGGAAAACAGCAGTATTCCCTGGGACTTACAGTCATGGCTTCAAACAAGTGGAAGACAACGTAGACAGGCATGACCCATGCCACCAAGTCAGCGATCTCCCTGGGGACAGAGACAAGGCAATGATCACTTTTGGGAACTGACCTCCATGCACCGAGGCCGGGAGCCGGGGGCACTCACTTGTCCTTGGTGAAGATGTATCCCAGCACATTCTTCGTGGAGGCTAAAATGATCCCCACGGCTACACAGAACGCCCCTGGAAACAGAGCAAAGTGCTGAGCCCAGCCTGGCCATGATGCAGAGCTGCTGAAGGGAGAGAGCAATGGGAGAAGTGGCAAATGTTCCCTGCCCCTGCTCTGCCTGGAAGGAGCCCAGAGGCAGAGGCTTCCCAGCGTGTCATGGACTGACCTGTGCAGAGCAGGCTGGTGGTGGAGGATCTCTTGGCCGTCTCGAAGTCTCCAGCACCCAGAGCATTCCCCACCTGCACACTGGCAGCTGTGCCGAGCCCCAGGGGGAACTGCAACCACAGGGATGAGGCTCGTGTGTGTGTCTGGGTAACTGGGCTGTCACAGTGACAGTGGAGTAACGACCCAGCAGAGAGGGGGACGGAGTTCAGGGTTTGATTTGAGGCATCTCCGTAGGAGGGATAGGCAGGAGCAGGGAGAGGCTTAAGTGCAGAGGGGGAAGATGGAGGTTTGCTGGAGCTGATTTTTGCTGGGTGCCTGTCTTGGGACAGTCCCCATGGAGCCCTGATCTGTAATAATAACCCCAGTCCTTACCATGAAAGCAACGACAGACACCTCATAGATGATGGACTGGGCAGAGAGTTCGACAACGCTCAGCAGGCCTGGGGGAGAGGAAGGGCGTCAGTGCTGGCTGTGGGTGCCCAGGGGAGAGCTGCTCTCAGCCCCTGCAGCTGTTGCAGGCGCTGCTCTGGGTCATCTCCTGGCAGCACCTCTCTCCACTGACCTATCAAGAAGCTCCCGATCTCGTAGGTCCACCACTCAATGCACATCATGAGCATGCTGGGGATGGCCAGGGAGGTGAAGCTGTCCCACTCCAGCAGGCACTCGCTGGACCAGCCTGCAGAGAGGAGAAACATCACTTGATGGATGACCAGACTGGACACGTGTTACACCCTGGAGAGCACCTGAGGCAGCTAGAGGTGCCATTCCTGTTCACAGCCACCAGGGCAATGCTCCTCAGCTCCACAGGACCTCCAGCAGCAGAGCTCCACCTACATGCTCTCCTGTGTTGTTCTGTGGGCCACAGGGCAGCGCAACCCTCAGCCCATCCCTCCTAGAGCAGAGTGTCTAAGGACAACCTCGTGCTTACGTCTGTGCTCATCCGGCTTTGGGGCTGAACCCTTCCAAGCCTCAGCAGGAAGTTTCATTTCTCCAGAATTAATGTTTAGTGCCCGGCACAGACCCTGCCAGCGCTCGCACGTGACGTGCTGCCACCGAAGCAGCTCCGTGGTACCCGGGGCGTGTGGGGCTGGGGTTAATATTTCACCATTGGGACAAACAGAGTTTGTATTCTATCAAGAATGCTTGATAGAAGTGGTGGAAGTTTTATGGACACTTGGGTAAAGCGTGAACCAGAGGGAGCCAGGGGGATGCCCTCACCTCCCCAGGTCTTCACGTGGAGTTTCTTGCCTATGATGTACAGGAACAAGAAAATGGCTTGCGAGTACTGAGCAATGGTGTTGGACCAGGCAGAGCCCCTGCAGAGGAAGTGAGAAAGGTCTGTCTCCATCCTGCTTACGCCTGCCTGGCCTCAGGGTGCTGGGACGTGACGTCCCTCCATGCCCCTCTGAGCAGCAGATGCTCGGTGTTCCCTTGCCGTTGCCAGGTGCTGCCTTGTCCCTCCATGGGACACAGGTGCAACTCACGTGATGCCGAAGTGGAACACGTAGAGGAAGATGCAGTTTGCAGCCACGTTGACGACGTTGCCAATGACCCCACTCAGCACCAGCGGCCACGTGATCATCTGCAAAGAAGAGGGGATGGGGCTACGGTGTCTTTGCAAAGGCTCCAAGAGGGATGTGTGAAGGTCCCCACCAGCCCCCAGGCTCAGCGCCTTTCCCAGGCAAAAAATAAACTTCCAGTGATGTTGCCTGCTTGGAAAATGAATGTGTTGGAGGTAAATCCCTGATGTGGGGAAGTATGAAGGGAGGTGGATGGATACAGCTGGCTGTGGGGTGGGGTGATCTACAGGGTTAGAGCTGTTTTGGGGCACCTGGGCAGTGGTGGGGACAAATGCTGCCTTGTTACCAGGAATGGGTTCATGGTGGAAGGGAGCCCTGAATCGGGGCTCACCCTTCCTGGGTGTGAGGACTCCAGGACCTACCTGGTTCTGCAGGTATCTTGTCTCCAGGTTATACAGAAAAACCGCCTGCAAAGGAAATTAGTGGATGAGATGAGCCAGTGCTGAGCAGTAGGGGTGGGGTGGCATCCAGGGTGTCCACAGGGACTCACCGGGAGAGCAGGGACAAACGCCATCACGTAGCGCTGGGTTAACCTGGGGGCACACAGAGGCAGGGTTAGGGAGAGGCAGGGCCATGGGCACCCTCCTCTCAGCCCCACCATGCTGGGGAGGGACAAGAGGCCATGGGACCACCTCACCTGGAGACCTCGGGGTCCTGCCGGATGAGGAGCATTAACTGCTCGATGTTGATGAGGATGGCACAGCAAGGGAAGCAGCAGAGGAGGATGATGATGGTGGCACGCTGCAGGATCACCCCCACCCGCAGCAGGTTCTTGCTGCCATAGGTCTGCAAGGTGAAGAGGGCAGTGGTAAAGTCAGCTGGTGCTGGGGAATAGGGACCCCACAGAGCACGGAGCAGCCCTGACCACCCTGAAGACCACCCAGGAAGGATTTGGAGCATGGATCTCCCTGTATGGGATTGCTACCCAGGGACAAACTTTCCCAGCTCGCAGGAGCAGCCAGGGCTCCATGGGGCATCATCAGCTGATGCTGGAAACCCCCGTGTCCCCAAGACAAGTGCCAGCATGTCTTACCCACCTGTGATATCAAGGTGTCACATGCCGAAGTCAGACCGTAACCTACAGAGATGGCAGTAACATTTATAACCTGGGAATGGGAGTTAAGAAAACAAGGAGTGAAGGTGTGCATTTAAGACTTTCAGGCAGGGAGAGGGGTTAAAAGGAAGAGTGGGAATCTAAAGTCTCCTGTCCTTTTCTGCTGCCATTCCTTTATCCCATCCCAGCGTCAGCAGGGCAGGGGGGAGCTCGTGCCTGGCACTGGGAATGCTTACAGCGATGGCCAGCGTGACGGAGGCCAGCTCAACCTTGCCCAGGTGGCCACAGAATATGGAGCTAACGAGGTGTATCAGGAAGATCAGCAGCTGGATCAGGATCTAAGCACGGAGGAGAGGAGAGGCGAAGGTTAGTGACAGAGGTGAGCAGGGGTGGTTGTGCTGGGGGGGGGTCTCTCCTCCCAGGTCCTTACCAGCGGCCCTGCCAGCACCAGCAGCTTCTTCACGTCCTCCCAGAAGTTGTCCGGGACCAGGCGCTGAATCCAGTGGCGTTTCTTCTCGCAGCTCCTGGGTGTGAGATTGTCCTGGCCAGCAGCCACTGCCTCACCGTTCTCCTCGGGGAGGTTCTCTGTCTTCGTGCTGCCATTCTCCTCAGGAAGGTTCTCCGGCTTCATGCTGCTGCTCTGCCAGGGGAGTGGAACAACCCCTCCCTCCGTGCTCTGTTAAACCACGGTGGGGTGAGCAATGTGTAACCACGGTGGGGTGAACTTCAGCCGGGGCCGGATGATCCGACCACACGTTCCCTGCTGCTGATGGGAAGTGTGGGCAGTGGGTCAGGGCAGGGCACGGAGCTGGGGAGCCCAGTGTGGGTCCTGGTAGCACAGTGGAGCCTGGCAAGGCACTTACTGCCTGCCCTGAGCCAGCATAGGGGCTGAGCCATCCCAAATCTGCCCTGCAAGCCCTCGTACCTCTCTCCTGCTTCACCACAGCTCCGCCGGCCAGTGGGTTGGAGGGTCGTCCTCCTCTTCCAGCAGCGATGGAGGATTCTTGGATCTGTGTGCGGTCTCTGGTGAGCTGCTGCCGGCAGTGGTGGGGCCGCTGCCTGTCTCGGCCCCTCTCATCGCAGTGACCAAGACAAGCCGGCCCCCTTGGCTCCAGCTGTCGGCCTGGCACAGCCCCACCGTGTCGGGTTTCACTGGCACAGCTCCCCCAGGCCAAATATAGTGTCCTTGGCCCACGGGGGAGGCAGGCAGAGGGAGCTGCTCTGCAGCTCAGACCTGCTCCTGCATGGAGCGGGAGGTGGGCTGGGGTAGCTCATGGGGCAGAGTGAGACCTCCCATCCCAAACCTCCCGGGATTCTGAGCAGGGTAGAGTATGCCACATCCTCCCACAGCTGGGCAGAGGCCCTGGGTGTTGGGGATGATGGCAGTTTCGAGCTCGTTTACATCACATCTTTTCATTCCCAGCCCACAGGTAACCAGCACCCCGAGCCAGGGTGACAGGGAGGTGCCATTCATCTGCTTCACACGGGATTTACCTCCAAGGGCCCAGCATGTGCCACGTCTCAGTCACTCAGCTGCAGGTAAGAGCCTGGGACAGGGCCAGAGGGACCCAGTGCTGGGGGCAGGCAGGGATGGGGGGTTTGCATTATGACATATGGCAGTTCTTTGGTGGTTCTGGAGGGCTGTGCAACACATCCACCCTCTTCCCTGGCGCTCAACGGTGCAGAAAGCAATTGAGGAGCACAAACCCTGCTTTTGTACTCGAGGGGAACAGAGTGATAACACTATACCCAGAGCCAGCCCCAAACCTCAGGGCCAAAAGCCTGAGGCTCTGTCAGGCTGCACAAACCAGACCTATGTCTTTCCTCTTAACAGCACAGTCATGCCAATGACCAGGGTCATGCACACACCACGTTAAACAGCCCAACATTTACTCAGAAAACTTTATTGTATCAAAATCCCACCTTACAAAAGTGCAAAGAAGAGTTGCTTTAGGCCCTGTGCCTGCCCCGCCACAGGGGGAGCGGGGCCAGGGGCCAGCAGCCAGCACCCAAATGGTGGCCAGACATCTTCCAACTGAATCCACCTTGCCCTGCACTGCCACAGCAGCTGCAAGTGGGCTCTGCCACGGCAAGATGCTGGCACAGGCCAGGAAATGTGCTGTGGGCAGCAGGAGCCTCTGCCATTAGCAAATGATATGGACAAATGCCCTCAGGGGGCAGGACAGCAGCAAAAGGACCCTGTTTCCTCCCAGGGTCAGCCCCGGGAAACGCTCCTGCCTATCACCAGTGACATCCCAGTGCAACGCAGGAGAGGAACCAGCTCTCAAGCACTTTTTTTCCCAAGTGCCACATCCTCACCCCCTCTAAGAACTCTGAGTGTGGGACAAAACATTGTGAGTTAACCAGAAACTGAGTAAAGGGACTTTTCGTAAAGAAGTGAGGGGGAATTCCTTCCCCGCACCATCCTCCTGGGACATCACCACGTGCCCTCCTGCTCTGTGCACACTCCCCAGCGTCACTGGCTCTAGCCATTGCCAGTCAGGAGCCGGACCAGGATGCCCACCAGCAGGACAGCCACAGCAGCAGCAGCAGCCAGGACACGGCGGAGGATCAGGGCCCTCCACGTCATGGCACGAGGCGCAGGGACAACAACAACAACAGGCTCCTCCTGTGTGACGAGCTCATGGTCAGGTTGCCTCTCGCCCACGATGCTTTCAGGCAGGGCCACGGTGTCCATGGTGTCCACAGTGTCCGTGTCAACAGAGGTGTAATCTGTGTGACAGAGAGGCCAGCGCTGCAGGGAAGCCCAGCTGCCAAGTCAGGGGCTTCCAGCCTGATGCTACACAAGAGCCAGTGACAGTCCTGGGGGTCCTTTCCCAAGGCTTGGGACACTGGGACATGCCCCAGCAAAGTGGCAGCTGCCCCCAGGTGAGGCAGACATCGGTTGGCAGCCCAGGCTCTTCCCTGGAGCAGCCAGCACGGTGACAGGGTATCTTGTACCCTGTCACTAAGTGCAGACCTGGGACCAGCACCAGGCACTGTGCTCTTTCCAGCCATCTGAGCCTGCAGGACAGACGTGGCTGCCATGACTGGGAAGGAAAGGAAGGGGTTGGGTGGAGAATTCGGGCTCCCACCCCGGTGTCAGGCCCGGTTACATACCCACAGCAGATGTTTTGTTAGCAGCTGTGCCATTGGAGTTCACATCTTCCAGCTGTACTTTTGTTCCAGCTCGGACTTGAGCCTAAAAACACAGGGAAGAGTTGCTGTTCTCAGGGCAAGGGTGTCCTGCCCAGCCCAGAAAACTCTCCACTCTCCCAAGACAAGCATGCTCAGCACCAAATTGCTCCTCTGCTACAGGAGAAGGACAGATCCCAGTTCACTTCTGCCTCCTCCCAGAGGGCTGTTGCATTGTACTGGGACAGGAACTCACCCAGCACCTTTCAAGTGTTACCAGAGAGAAGCACAAGTCTCACCTCCTCTGCAGCTTTCTTCCAATCCATGCGGATGACAAAAGCCAAGAAGGAAAGGGCTTGCACAGAGATGCAAACGATCATCCCAACCCACAGACCTGCAGCAATGGGAAGTTACTTCAGGGAGGGCTCGAGAAAAACTTGCCTTTGTCAGCTACTGCCACAAAGCCCAGGGACCTCAGTGGGTCCCATGTCCAACCCAGTCTCGATGGGAAACGAAACAGCTCCTGGGGGAGCTGGGAGCAAGCCTGGATTTACTGGGACATCTCAGCCCCCATTTGATGGGGGGTCTCAGCGCCTGCCCCAAACACACCAACGTGCAATCCAGCCCCACTGATCCACAGGAAGATCCAGGCACGAGTTCCAGGGCTGGGCCTTTGCTCAAGGCAGCTCATCTAGTGCCAGGTGGAGGACACACGTACCCAACACCCCCATCTTGGCTGCAAACATCAGTGAGACGCCGATGGGCAGGCCCATGGTGTAATATCCGACGGCGTTGGCGATGGCACCCAGCTTCTGCTTCCCGGTGCCCCGCAGCACTCCCCCGCAGGTCCCCTAAGGAAGGCGGGCAGAGGGATCCCTGTCAGGTACCACCACAGCAGACCTGGGGCCTGGCACAGCTCTGGGAACAGGGGAACCCACAGCACTGAACTGCAAAGCCAGGAGGGAGCAAAGCCACGTCCTGGAGCACACAGTGTGGGGCTCCTGTTGCTCCAGCTGCCGACACCAACAGGCACCGCCAGCGGATCCCACAGAGCTTCCCATGCTGCCCAGGTCCCTCTCCCCAGGACACGACAGGAGGAAACAGGTCAAAATTACTACCTAACGAGTTTATGAGCATTGCCAGTATGCTGGGAGCACACAATATCTCTGAACACCCAGCTGCTCCCTTGTGCTGCTTTGATAAGACAGTAAAAATCTGGAGCCTTGCCAGAGGAAAAGAGGAGGAAAAAGGGGGTTGTTTGCAGCGATGCCAAGGGACAACTACAAGCACAGGGGACACCGAGGTACCACAATCAGCTGCTTTGACAGCTTATCAGTTGGCTTCTCTGCATCATTTTAACAGGTCAAGAGTGAGCTACAGGCAGCTTTGCACCCTCCACGGCACCCCAGCCTGCGGGGAGGAATCACTCCACACTCTGGAATACTCACTGCTGTCGCATCAAGCAAGTGGAACGGACCAAAGATGAGCATCACTTTGGACACCAAGTTAACGATCTCCCTGTTGGGAAGATGTATGTGCTGATCAGGGCAAGCAGCACCAAGGACTCTGGTTCCCACAGTCTCCCTCAGCCAGCTGCAAAGGCTGATCTCAGCTCCCTGACCCCAGCCTGCTACCAGGGTAGTGCCCCAGTGTCAGAAACCTCTGTGCTTCCAGGCAACGGGGAAGAACCTTTGGGAACATGTTTGCCAGATGGGGGTTTATGAACTCTTATCTGTCAGCAGCTTCTGGGATATAAATAACACCCTCCGAGAAGGTAAATACCCGAGAGAAAGCTGTTAACGCACTTGTCATTGGTGAAGATGTATCCCACCACGCCCCTCAGGCTTCCCAGTAACGTTGCAACCACCACAGCAAAAACTCCTGAAAAGAAAAAGAAATAGTCACATTGTTTCAAGGGCAGCATGTCCTGCTCCTGATCCAGGCCCAGACCTCAAAGGCTTCGTGTGATGGGGATTGGACTTGGCTGACCTCCAAGTGATACTGCAGCAGAGGACAAGTCTGTTTTCCTCACGCTCTCCCCAGATACTCCCTCTGCCTTCTGGAGGGGGAGGGCAGAACGCTAAATTGCAGATTTAACTATCAAAGCCTTTGCACCAGGCTCGTAACAGAAAAGAGCAGTCAGGATCTTGCCTCCCCTGAGGGGTCCAAACAAGTGGGGTTTGGGTTCCTATGGGGGGTCCCCAGCCCTGTGAGAACTCAACTATTTGCTGATAATTGCCCTTCATTCCCCTTTGCAGGACCTGAGCTCACCTGTGCACAGCAGAGCAGTGATGCAGGAGGTCTTGGCTTGCACCACATCCCCCGATCCCAAGGCATTGCCCACCCTGACACTGGCAGCCACGCTGATGCCCAGAGGCACCTGAGTAGCAGGAGACAAGAGGAGGTGAGTGGCAGCAGAGCCTGCAGTGACAACAGAGCCTGCAGCAATTTTTTTCTTCTCCAGAGGGGAATTTGGGACAAACTGGCATGGCTGCAGTAAAGGGATTTTCCATCTGCAGCACACTCTGGATGTGCAGCTGCTGTGGTAGGTCTGAGAGGCATCACCTGCCTGGTACTGCCCCCTGTTCCCACCTCAGATTGACCACAGAGCCACTGTTTGGGGGCTGCTCCCAGGCTGTTTGGGGTTTCCTACACCCAGCCCTTACCATGTAGGCAGCACAGGCGAGCTCGTAGATGATGGACTGTGCACCCAGCTCCACCACACTGAGCAGCCCTGGAAAAGATTCATCACCTCCTTTGTTTGCTGACAAGGAGGCAGCGACTACAGGGTTCCCACTGAATAGATGGGAACACCTGCAATGTCCTGCAGACCCGGTCCTGTAGGTGAGGAAGCTGCTGGCAGGAGGAGCTCTGGGGACACAGTCAAGAAGCAGCCACCAGAGCAGGCACAGCTGTAAGGCAGCCTGTTGAACCACAGGAAAAAGAGGATTTGGACTCACCAGCCAAGAAGCTCCCCATCTCAAAGGTCCACCACTCAATGCACATCATGATCATGCCGGGCACTGCCAGCCAGATGAAGGAGCCCCAGTCCAGGAGGCAGTCCCTGCTCCAACCTGCAGCGAGGACGTGAAGCCAAATGAACACATGTTCTCCCTCTCCATCCCCAGAGGGGAACCATATGCTCTTCTGGACACTCTCAGAGGACAACCACCACTGCAGCTCACAGGACACCTGCCTAGGATTGCTGCTGTGACATGCTGCATTCCTGAGACAGGATGTTCAACAAGAATGTATTTGGAGCTACAGTAAAGGCCTTGAGGACATGACTTCAGCATCTTCCCACTGTGAGGGGATGACAATCCCTTTGTCAGATGCTGGTGACAGTGCCAAATTCCCAGGGCCAGACACTGGTATTCTGAAGGATTAAACTATAACAGTACCTCCCCAGGTCTTCACATGGATCTTCTTCCACCACATGTAAAGGAAGAGGAGGATGGCCTGGGTGTACTGAGAAACAGTGTTAGCCCAAGCAGAGCCCCTGCAGAGAGAGACAGGCAAGTTACAAGTGACATCCTTCCCAATCTCCTCAGCTACAGCAGGAGAGACCCAGTGGGTCTTGCTCAAGCCTTGTACCACACAAGCCTTGCTCCCTCCAGCCTCATCTTTGCAGGCTGGTTGTCTGGGGGCAGAGGGTGGCAGAACTGGGCACCCAGGACAACCCCCCAGCCCTGAGCACACAGGGAGAGACTGTGACCACCCCTGCTCACACTTACACCATGCCCAGCTTCAGTGCATAGAGGAAGAAGGCGTTCATGGCCACGTTGAGGACGTTGGCTGCAATCCCGGTCAACACCTGAGGCAGAATGATCGCCTGGAAGCCAAGGAGGGACTTTGGAATTTGCTTCCCCAGTGCTGCCTAAGCCCCATCCAGTGAACACAAGAGAGAACTTCAGCAGTGCCCAAGGAGAAAGCCAAGAAGGCAGCTCCTGTTCCAGGTAAGGCTGGGCTCTGTTAGACATGCAGGGCTTAGGAGCTGCTGCAACCCATAAAACGGAGTTGGGAAGTAGCCATAGGGAAATGGAGCCAGTTAAGGGGGGTGGTTCCTATGAGCTCTCCCAGGGCCAGCTGGGGGGCTGTGCATCACACATTCCTCAGCCCAGCTCTCTCAAGAACAGGATGAACTTGGATACCCAACTTTATCCATGTTCCTGGGAATACCTTTAATGTACAGCCCAGAACTGACTGGTTATACAATACCTGACTTAGTAAATATCTTGTCAGCAGCTGGTACAGAAACGCCGCCTGCAAGAGTCAGGATTCAGTTCATCATCAGACCGTGGTTCAGCAACCATTGAACACTGACAGACCAGTCCCCTCACCACCTTCTTGGGGTGCCCGAGCCAGCACCTTTCTGACACCCCATTCCTGTGCTCCATCTGAAGTGTGGCACCTGCCAGCACTGCACCCAAAAGAGTAACAGAAGACACCTCCCATTCCCACTGGGAAGAGAGATCAGTCTCCAGATGGGAAATCTCCTATGCTTCCCCATCAGCCTGAGAAAGCTTGGAAAGCTTAGAAGAAAGGATAAACCTACAGACCCTTATTCCACAGGGATACTGTTCCCTGCCTTAGAGAAGCTGGAGTAACCAGCTGGAGCCCAGCTGTGAGTGTGTGAACAGCAAGCTCCAGCCTTCGTCTTGGAGCTAAGAGCGAGCCTGGAGCCACTGGTTCCAATGTCCACTACCACTTGTGTGGCCACAGCAAAAGCCTTTGCACAGGAAGATCAGAGACCCCATGTTTGCTGGTCCAGCAGTTGCTGGCCAATGCACATCTGTTAAGGCACAAAGTCAAGGGACACACTGTAAAACGCTAAACCTGCCCTGTGAGCCACACAGCAAAGGCCCTCCCTCCTTTCCTTCATGTTACTAAGGGACACAGAGCTCCTAACAGCTTTAGCAGAGACTTACAGGAAGCGCTGGAATAAAGATCATCACGTAGACCTGAGTTAACCTGGAAAGAGAGTTGTTTCCCCAGTTAATATTACAGCAAAGCAAGAGCCAAGCCAAACAGTGTTGTGCTCAAGCTCCAGAGAGGCTTGATTTCAACACTGCAGAGCAACCCACCCACAGCAAAAAGCCCGATCCAGAAGGGCTGGATCTCACCCCTGACCTGGAGACCTCGGGGTCCTGTCGGATGAGCAGGAGGATTTGCTCAGTGTTGACGAAGAGTGCCCAGCAAGGGAAGCAGCACAGCAGCAGGATGAGGGTGCCCCGCTGCAGGATGGTGCCCACCTGCTTCAGGTTCTTGCTGCCATATGTCTGAGCGAGGAGAGAGGACCAAGGTGGGGGTCACAGGGAGCCAAAGGGTCTGGGCAAACTTTTAGGGCAACAACAGGCTGATTAAATGCATTTCCCACGTCCTGCAGCGGTGAATGCCAGGCTGGTTGGGTGTCACTGGCCTTCAGGTGGATTGCACATCCCTTTGCTACCCAAAGGGACCCAGGGCTCCCTGGGGGAGCTTCAAGGAGGGAGCAGGCTCCAGCCAGGGTGTCTGTAACCCTGCCCTGTCTGGAAGCTGCCACCCCCCTGCTCTTTGTGCCCAGATCACACTGCACAGGAGGCGAGACAGCACCAGGTAAACCCCATCAGGCACAGGAAAGGGGGAGCTGCCACTGACCTGGGTCATCAGGGTGTCACATGCTGAGGCTAAACCAGACCCGATGGAGATGCCTGTCACGTTGATAACCTGAAGGAGAGACAGGGATCCTGGCCCAGAGCACTGAGTCCCTCCCAGCTGGGTGGGTAGACAGTTCTGCTACAAGTTTTTGGGAAGTTTCCAGCCCTTCTCTATTTCTCAGAATAACAAATCTTGTTAACTAAATAGCCTCTTCTCCCCTCTGGTGGGGAAAAGGATCCTCTAGGAAGGCATGAGTATCTAAAGGACCACAAACAGTGCTGCTCCCAGCCACATGCTCAGGTCTGGTGGGTTCAGAGAGCTAGTCAGAGGCTCCAGCTCCCTGCTCAGGTGCTGGCCTTGTACTGGCACAGGCACTGCCTGCTCAGCTCCCCTTTCCTGCGTGTGCTCAGGACAAAAGGAAGAACATTTTGGTGGGTGTGATGTCTGCATTGCATCAGGCTGTGCTGATGCACAGGGCCCTCACACGTATGTTTCTACAGGTTTGAGGTTTTTTCTTCTTTTTTTTTGTTTTGTAATACCTAATTTGTGTGTTTTAAATCCAAGGGGAGTTGGAGTGATACGTACAGACACAGCCAGTGTCACGGCGTCCAGCTCAGCTTTCCCCAGGTGGCCACAGAAGATGGAGCTGACCACGCTGATCAGGAACCCCAGCAGCTGGGAGAGGAACTAGGATGAGAGGAGAAGGAAACGGTGAGGTGAGGACCCATTAGGGCTTGTGGAACATCAGCCCTCCCCCAGGAGCCGGCCTATGAACAGCCAGGTTTCCTGGTGTTTCGGTCTATGCCTCCAGGCCAGGGCTCTGCTGTCCTGGGAACCTGTCCCCACTTGCCAACACTGCTGGGGCATGGGAGGCAGCTCTGGGACTCACCCAGGTTCTCCCTGGCTTTGTGTTTCAAAGCAGACATCTACCTGCCCTGTGGTATTTTGGTGTTACACAGCCAATCTGCCAGATGACCTCATTTACGGGAGGCTTAACAGCTTCACTAGAAATCCTCTTTCCCAGGATGAAGGTTGCAGAGAGAGGAAAAATAAAACATCCCAATGCTTTTTTCACATTTGTGTGCATCTGTGGAAAACTATCCTCCAAAACCACAACATCCTCTCCTCCTGGAGATACTCCAAGGCCATTCTGTGTGTTCCTCTCCAGGGCCTACAGCGAAGTGCAACGATGCTGCAGCAGAGATTGCACTCCAAACCTCATTCTCCCTTGGCAAGAGGATGTCCCTTCTACAGGCGTCCAGGGCACAGAGTTGTGGCACAGCTCAAACCAGATGGTAGGTGTTAGAGATGTTCATACCCACTGAGGGGTGGGTACAACTGGAAACCATGCCCAGGGTCTGCTTGTGCTGCTTCTCAGCCAGCAGTTGGCAAGCCAAGAGCCCAGCACCGCTGGAGAACCAGCTCTGTGGGGTCAGAGGAAGAGCAGAACAAACCTGTCTCCTCTGCAGACCTCCCACTGCTGCCTGCAGGTGCAGTCTTGCTGCCAGGCCCTGGCACGCTGGACCTGCTGCTGTGAGTAATCCCCACAGGAGGGTCCGGTCTGTACCTCCACGACCATCCCAGCACAGGGTTTGATATGAAATGATCATTAACTAACGGCAGCTGCAGGTTTGGGTTTGAAGTTGTCTGCGCACGTGGAGGAACAGGCTGTGCCGCAGGTGGGATGGTCGAGGGGACCGAGAGGGCTTGTGTTCAGCCACAGAAACTGAAACCAGCCTGTACTTCCCCTGCTGACCGATCTCAGCAAGTCAGTGCTTTGATGTCAGGGAGGGCGTCTCTGAGAAGTTTAGCAGTTGGCAGTTATTTACCAGATAAAGCAGAAGGTTAAAAGCACAAAAAACTTCACGTGCAGTTGATTCAGACTGGGGCTGTTGGTGCGTGCTTCCCCTTGCAGAAGCCTCTGCAAAATGTGTTCAGCACTGTCTATGCCGACTACCCAAGGGTGCATCTCCCTCCAAAGGGTGCATCAACCTCCAGTTCCAGTCCGGGGAGGACTTCAGGACAGCGAGTTATAAGGTACCTTTGCACCCAGAGCCTGCTGCAAGGGCTGGCCAAGGAGCTGACACTAAGCAAAGAGATTTGCTTGTCACCCAAGGGTAACGAGGCAGTGCCGGGGCTGCAGCCTGGTTCCACAGAGCAGTTTAACAGCTTATCCCCCCTACACCCCGAGCCCACCGCTCCTCTTCCACAGCCGTATCGCCGGGCAGCAGCAGGAGCTCCTGGGGCGAAGAATAAGCGCCTGGGCGCCAGCCAAGGCACGAAGGGTGGCGGTTTAACCCTGGCTGTGCCTGCAGCAGCCGAGGAGGGACCGGGCTGGCCCCGGCGCGGGCGAAGGGCATATCCGCGGTCGCGGAGCCGTGCCCGGAGGCTGAGGAGGTCAAGGCTCATCCCCGGGATCAGCCGGGCCCGAGGTCTCTCTGCTCCTCATCCCGCTGTGCGCTACCCGGCTCCGGGTGGCCAAGCCACCGCCGCGATCCCCCGGCCCAGCACCTCCGGCAGGGAGGGCACGGTGTCCCCCGCGTGTCCCCCCGCGATCCCTCCCCGCCCCGGCTCTCACCACGGGCCCCGCCAGCCGGGCCAGCTCGCAGCACTCCCGCCGGGCGCCCGCGGGCAGGAGGCGCCGGGCGCCCCGCAGGCACCGCACCGCCGCCCCCGCCGCCATGGACCGACCGCCGGCCCCGCCCGGCCCCGCCGCCCGCCTTATGGGCACGGCCGGGGCCGCCTCCCGCCCGCGGGGCCGCGGCGCTGTGGGCGGTGCGGGGATGCTCGGCGCGGAACGGAACGGCACGGTAGGGTCATGTCCGTGATCCGGATCGGGGCCGGGAAGCTGCGCCGGCTGGGAGTGGGACGCGCCACACACACCCCCGGCCGCGCTCTGCCCACGTGTGCGGGGATGGGGACTCGCCAAACACACACACACACGTGTTGGCCAGAGCCGGAGCGCACCGTGGGGTTTTGGGGGGGTTGGGGACTTCCCGTTTGTGTTGGTGCAGGGTTTGGGGACCTGCTGCGCGGGGAGAAGGGCCCCCCTTCCCCCCGTTTGCTCTCTGACATCTGCAGCTCTCCTGCTAATCGGCTGTGGGATGGGGACCCTCTGAGGAGACCACACGCGTGTTGGCCAGGGGTTCACCAGAGGTCCAGAGACCCCCAGGTGGTGGCTCTGGACTGGGGACCTCCTTGTGGGGCGATGGCTTAGGACCCCCTACGTGCTGGCTGTGAGTTCCAACGCAGGGGTCTCTCAAAGGCACAGATGCTCCCGGGCCAAAGGAATGTCCCCTCTGCCACGTGCATCATGGTAACAGTGGGGGCAGCTGGCTCTGGGCACCTTCCTCCTCTCCTCCATCCACCCACCAGTACCCCATGAACAGGGTGACCTGGGATTGTCCCCCACTCCAGGAATTCCCACCCAGCAGCTGGTGTGGAGATTGGAATGGCTGGGCTGGGGTGGCCATGGCTGTGTTTGCCCATCACCTGGCAAGAAGGAGTTTTTGGTTTGGGTAGGAGCTTGGGTTGTTACAGGAGTGAAATTCTACCTAAGCGCAGGTGCTTGTAACCAAGTAGCTGTAACCAAATCTATTGCTAATGCACGGAAAATTACAGTGGAAAGTGGGGCTCGGTTTTCCAGCTGTTTAAATGCTGCCCTGGTGACTTATAACTGTGGTGTCACCACCTAGAAATGTAAAATCTTGTTAATGTTTCACTTTTCCCCTTGTTCCTTCAGGTATGATGTGACATCGTGAAAAATTATATAGTAATAGTGGTGAGTCATAGACGCAGTCATTTTGATTTTATGTGCCATGGTGAAATTGGGGTGTTTCAGGGCAAGAGAGTGCTCCTCTCCATGGTCCTTCCTTCCCCTGTGGCCAGCAGAGCAGCGGGTGTTGGGTGCATGTGCCAGAGCCTGTGCTGCCTGTGGGATGGTGCTGCAGGGGCAGCTATGAAGAAACAGTAGTTATCAGCAAATGGTGTGTCCTGGCTGGTGTGACTGTCACCAGCCCGGCTGTGAGATGGCCAGAGTGTTCCTGAGGCGCTGTTATCTCCTGTGGAGGCTGAGGGAAGTGATAAGACTCAGATGGTGCCATTCATGGTCCCTCAACAACCAGTGCAAGTGTGAGTCCCTTTGAAGTTTACTGGTGACCCTGCTGAGATCAATACCCTGGGCTGGCAAAGAGTGGGGAGAGAATCAGGCAGAGACCCAGGAAAAAGGACTTTGAAAATAAAAAGCTGTATCTTTTCAGGCTCAGGGGAGAAATGTTGCCTCCCAGCCCCAGGAGCCAGGTCCTGGGCTAGTCCCCAGAGAGCCAAACACACACAAGAAGGGCTGTGATTGAAATCCCTCTCCTTGTGTTTTGCTGCTGCTGTTTGAAATCAACTCCGTTTGCTTTCAGAGGTGCTGTTTTGTGTTTCTGCGGTGACATGTGAATCCCAATCTTGCTGGGAAGCAGCAAAACGGGCACCCCAGGACCTGGTCTGATGTGCCCTGAGGCCTCCCCCATCACTGGCAGGACAGACTGGGTGCTGGCTCAGCCTGCCCCCCCTCAGATGGGCCTGTGAGCTGCCAAGGGGGATGTGGATCTGTGCAAACTGTCAGGCTGAGCCCTGCCCTGGCACTGGATGGCCCCACATTTGCCCCTTCTCTTCCTGTGACGGGGACAAGGACCTTGCCAGCTGCCCGACAGGAATCAGTGCTGGAGCCCCCAGACGATGAGGAGGGTCAAAGGTAGAACAAGCTTCCCTCAGCAATCCGGATATTAACAGGGTTGCAACACCAGTTAGAAGAATTTGAAGGGTCAAATTCCACCAGAGTGTAACATCGTTGAACTCGGCTGTTTTAGACCTCCAGTGAATCTGGAGCAGCGTTTTGGAAGGGTGACACCTTAACACAGACCTGTTTAAAGGAGTTAATGTGTGACTGGCCCCAAACCAGCTGGAGCAGGCAGATGGCTTGCCCTGCTGGAGCTGGTTTTGGCAGCTGGGACCCTGTGCAGTTCTCAGCGATGCTGATGTGAATCCAGAAGAAAGCAGCTGAGAGCAGAAGGATTGCAGTTGGCTTGCATCATCTGCAGAGCAGGATTAGCCCTTTTTTTATTGCAGATTCCCAGAAGATGGCTACCCTGGGCTTTCTCTGGATATGTATGTCCATATTCTGAAATGCAGCCAACATCCTGCTACTAAAATAAACCTCACAAATGCGCCATGTCTGGAACTGTCGCGATTAAGAGCTACAAAATAAGAAAACAGTCAGGACACAATGGATTTATGTTGAACACTGAACTGTTTGAAGTGTGTCCCTTTCCTTTAAGAGATCCTACTGCTGGCTAATGTTCAGATGCCACGGAAAATCCGCTCCCCTCTGTGCAATGTGGAATTCAGGATACAGCTAAATTAAACACTAAAGAGCCTTTTGCAGTCAAATTAGCTTTTATTTAAGTGTCACACTATAGGATCAGATGATCAGAGCCATCAGTGGATACAGCACATGGATTTGGGGGTTGTAAATATGGAGAACAAACCAGAATAGTCATTTTAAATAGCTCTCCTTGCGTGATGGTCTGACTGCAAAGAAAGTTACTGGATTCCAGAGTAGTAAGTGCATTAGCAAAACATGCTAACGACCTTAAACTAACTATAGTGATTCTTCCTGCAATAAGAATGGCCTCGTTACTGGGTACACAGGGTTGATTTTCCTGTATAATCCCAAATAAGGGTTCTCAAGTCCATCCTAATGACTGACGTGGCTTCCTCAGACCCAGGAAGTCAGTGTTTCACTGCTGCCTGCGTCTCCAAAGTATAACTAATATTCAATACTTTCGAAAAACATACTTTCAAAAACCAGAATGTCTAATAATGTTTTAAATAACCACTATTTTTTGGCATGGACAGTCACATAAACAGGACTGTTTGCACTATTATTTGTCCCAGCTTGCTAGAACAGACGTACTTCTGCAAGAAGAGTTAGAGGGAAGCTCGGAACCGGTGTTTACAGTGGATGATGGAACTTGTCAAAAAGGCAGTTGCCTCTTTAAAACCAAAGCAGTGAGAAGTGTGGCATCTCTCTGGCACCCAACAGCCTCCCAGGGCCGGTGTTCCTCTCTGCTGTTGAGAAATAGGGGTTTTCTTGATGAGTGTATATCCCCCAGCTCGGTGTCATCGGTGCTGGGCAGAAGCCACAAAGCCTGATGAGACTCGGAATCACAGAATCATTTGGGTTGGAAAAGCCCTCTGAGAGCGAGTCCAGCCATTGACTCAGCACTGCCAGGTTACCACGTGCCTGTGAGCGCCACATCCACGTGGTTTTTGAACACTTCCAGGGAAGGCGACTCCACCACTGCCCTGGGCAGCCTGTTCCAGGGCTGCACAACCCTTTTGGTGAAGAATTTTTCCCAAATACCCAACCTAGACCTGTCAGGGACATTTCCTCTTGTGCCATCACTTGTCACCTGGGAGAAGAGACTGACCCCCACCTGGCCACAATCTTTCCAGGTAGTTCTATAGCGCGATGAGGCCCCTCCTGAGCCACCTTTTCTCCTCGGTCTCATCCCGGTCCCATCTGGGTGGCTCGTGCGCGGTGTCCCCGGCAGGTGGCACTGGAGCCCCGCAGGTCCCTCCAGGCGCTCCCGCAGCACCGGGAGCAGCACCGAGGACGGGAGGGGACGGAGGGGGGGGGGATCCGGATCCCCTTTTCCAGCCGTTCTTGTCTCCGCCCCTCGGGCTCAGCGCTCTGACCCTGCCTCGTTCCGTGAGTATTTGTATTTTTCCGTGCCGACAAGACCCTAATGGGCATCGGGCGTTTGTTAAAAATCCAGGGGAAATCACAGTGTTTGCCAAATATGGTCCAAATATATGCCAAATATTTGGCAAATAAGTTCAAAATATTTGGCAAATACTTTGGAATAATGTTTACTAAATAGTGAAAAATGCAACATATACTAGTCAAAGGGGATGAAATATGAAAAAAACAGTATTCAGAAAAAAGGAATAGGAGTTAGAAAAATGCAGGTGGGCACTATATAGACAAGAAACTGCTTATTAAAAGCCCCGAGGTGTTGTCTTGACTCTCTAATTCCAGTGTCTCAAGTTGGTTCTCAAATGGGCAACCTGAAGCCATGATTTTGATGTGGAACCAGCACCTGGGCAGACACTCAGCCACTCACCATGGTGTGACCTCAGTTCAGTCACACCTCACCCTGTGATATTGTTCAGTAATAACAGCTGGTTTTTATTTTATTGTTCTTTAAGAGAGAGAAATGCTTTTGACTGGTTCTGTATTTCAGAGCGTCTTCCTCCTGCTTTGTTCACCAAAGATGGGGCCAGACATATTAACTGCAGTCGTAAATATTATTTTTACAGCAGAATATTTATCTTGCTGCATGGGTTGGTCGAGTTCAGTGCTGCAGACTTAAAAAACAGCTTCTCTGCCCTGAAGAGCCCAGATACTTAATTAAGGCAGATAAAGCAGGACAAATAAAAACAAGACAAAACTCCTCTTGCTTTGAACCACCTCTAGGGAGCAGGTCTTGGCAAAAGAAAAGAGGGATTGTAAAGCTGTAATAATAATAATAATGATAATTAATTGTATTTATAAAGCATCCCCTAATGGCTCTGGATGCTACACAACGATTTTAAATACAACTGAAAGCAGCAACCATTACGAGAAGCCAAATAAGGAAGAGCTTTAAAAATAAAGGGTTTTTTACAGCAGATAGTAAGGTTTCAGTGGGCTGGTTTGGGGCTCTCCTGCAGCATGGACACACATACATCAGTCGGAAGGAACCGAGGATCCCGCAGTGAATTCTGCGGGCTCGCAGATTGCAGGCTTTGATTGCAAAGAGCAAATACATTTTACAGCCTGGTTTGCATGTCACCGTCTCTGCTTTATTTCCTTTCTGTACCCCAGCCAGCCAGACGGTGTAACTCAACGCAGCCCAATTTACGTTTATACTTCTGGATTGGCTTGCAGGTTTTTCTGTCCTCATTTGTTAGGGGTAAACATGTATTTATGTTCGATTTTGAAAATAAAGAAGGGAAACGCTTGTTCTGAGGGCTTTGGGAAGGCTGGTCCTACCCTCACTGCCACGTGGGGTCAGCGGGATGTCACAGCATGGTTTGGGTTGGAAGGGACCTTATTGTTCCACCCTCCTACTATGGGGTGGGAGATCTTCCACTAGAGCAGGTTGCTCAGAGCCACATCCAGCCTGGCATTCACTTCCAGGGATGGGGCATCCACAGCTTCTCTGGGCAACCTGTGCCAGCACCTCACCACCCTCACAGGGGAGAATTTCTCCCCAGTATCCAGTCTGTCCTTGCCCCCTGTCAGTGGGAAACCATTCCGCGTTGTCCTGTCACTCCATGCCCTTGTCCAAGCCGGTCTCCATATCCCTTGGAGCCGCTTTAGGCGCTGGGAGAGGGGCCGGGAGCAGTGCAGAGGGAAGCGGTCCCAGGAGCGGGGCCGGGCCGGGAGCGGTGCAGAGGGAAGCGGTGCAGAGGGAAGCGGGCCGGGATCGGGGCCGGGCCGGGAGCGGTGCAGAGGGAAGTGGTGCAGAAGGAAGCGGTCCCGGGATCGGGACCGGTCCGGGGCGGTGCAGAGGGAAGCGGTCCCAGTCCCGGGATCGG